TTTTTTGAGCTTGTTTCAACAAAAAATGTAAAGCCATTTAATAACATTAATTGATATGAAGAAAATAATTGATCAATGCCTTTTTACGAAAAAGCAAAACTGAAAGAAGAAACTATTATTTTTTACAGATTTTATTTATTGATAAATCAACCATATATTTTTCGAATTGATAAAAATTTTGCAGGAGAATTCCGATAATTCGAAATGGCAAAAGGATTTCCATTTGCATAGAAATTCAATTAATCGTGAATTATTGAGAACGAATTTCTTTCAAGGGGATACCATTTATTTCGATTTATCACGATTTTCGATTTAGCGGGGTACAAATTATTGAGACTCGACTAATATACTTTGCTGTATAAATTATTCTTCTAAAAATGCTGGGCCATTCCATTCATATGGCATTCGGGTTATTCAAAAATAAATATAAACATATTTTAAATTTTTCACTAGACGCAAATATTCCTCTTCCTGATTTCCTTAAGATAATGTGAAAAATTCAACAGATTTTAATAACCAAATATAAATGTATATTCTTTTCAAAAATATAAAATTATACAATCTTGTTCAAATCGATGCTACAAAATAAATCTTGAAAGTTGTAGAAAATAGATACGTATGAAAAAAAAAAGATTTTGGTATAAATATAAACATATAAAAATAAATAAAAATATAAATCGCTTAAGTTGAGTGTTGTTTTTTTTTTGTTCTTGTTAAATTCGAATTTTGTGCCACTGTGCGGCTATGTTGTAGTGCGCTCCCCAAACGAATTGGGTAACAACCGCATTTGAGATTTGATTGGATTAGAACAAGCTTTTGGCGGCGCACGAATTGTTGATGTGTCCGCTGTGGTTGATTGGAATTGGAGGCCCCAAACCAGATGGAGCTCCCGCCTCCCCTTTGGCTACACACAGTGTTGACATGTCGCGGTGGCAACAGGCAACAGGCAACAGCGGACAGAGTTAGAGCCTGTATTCATATTTTTGGCAATCGATGTCCTGCTTGGTTCGTTGGTTGGTTGTCTGGYAGATTGGCTGGCAGGTCCTCAGACTGGGCGGCTGGGCAATTAGAAACGTAGAGTGTTTTGAAATTTTCCAATTTTTGGTGATTGCCCAGAGGGTGCCCAGGGCTGGGTTGCCTGTGTTAATTTCTAGTACAGGTTCTGGTTTTTGTCCATAGGACAATCGGCTCTGATGCCACGCCTTCGATCTCTGCGCATATATCACTGAATGGCACTGCAGAATCGAGGAGAGATGATGAGGTCAGTCAGTGTGCGTAGCCTCCGCTCTACTCACTCAGGCTGCTCACATCCAAGTTGACCTCGAAATTGTGCAACTCATACATATCCAATTTCTCTTTACTTATATTCTCTGTAATCACGTTCAGCTGTTCCAGGTCAGTGCTTGGAGCTGCGGCCGAAGTCGCGTCCTCGATTGGCTTTCGCATCTGTTGCATCAACTGCAGTTTGTTGAGGTGGGCGAATCTCTTGTACCTGCACCTTATGTACTGCTGACAGTCGAATTTCGTGGTTGGCTTGGTTCTAGAGACGGGCTCCAGGCTGGATATTCTCACTGGAACTGGGGCCGCCAGGCTCATGTACTGCCTTCGTTTGTCGCGCTGATGCTCGATAGGTGACTGCTCGTCTATCTGTTTGATTAGCTTCTCGAGCTTATTGACCTCCTCCATGATGAGGCACACCTTGCGGTAGGCGGCGCCGACGAGCTGCTGGCCAACTCGCCGCTTGGTCTGCACCATCAGCTCGGCATCCGCCTCGGTGAAGCAGTAGTTCAATGCCCTCTCAATGTCCTTCTCCTTCCTGTTAATGCTATTGACGCTGGGCAGGGGCTGGGCAGCGCGCTGGCAGGCATCCAGCCACAAGAGGAACTCGTTGTCCAGCACCGGCTGATTGGAGATGCCATCCATTTGGAAGCTGCGCAGATGTCGGCCGTGCTTCAGCTGTAGCTTGACCTTTGTGCGATGATTGCCCAACACGTACTCCTGGTCGGTGTGCTCGACGGCCACGATGCGAGAGAGCCGATAGACTGTCGGCTGGTTGGTGGGTATGCCGGAAAGGCTGATCCGAACAAAGCATCCAATCAGCGTCTGCTCGAAGCTGGGCTTGTCGAGCAAGCTCTCCAGCTGGTTGCGCGTGAGCAGCGCCTTGCTCAGCTCCGCCAGGGAACTGACAAACGTCTCTGGCTCACTGCTCGCGTGGCTGGCATCCATGTAGCCCTCGTCATCTGAGCTGGCATTCGACTCATCTGAGTAAACTTCTCGCGGCTTGACTGGATCGTCCTTAGCTTGATCACGCTGATCAAGCATTTGAAATAGAAGCTTTGCTTCCTGCTGTAGTTGTTGCTTTAAATGTGGCTGTTGCTCCACCACCTGTTCTCGCTCTTGATCCTGTTCCCGATCATCTGCTGTTATGTGCTTATAGCCATAGTCGACACAGGTGCTGTGCTCAGCATTGTCGGTCTTATCTTTATGCAGCATAACGCACTTGATTCCCCACTGGTAGAGCAACTTCTCTCGCTTCAGGCTACGCTTAAACAACTTGGTCTCCCGCTGCAGTCTCGCCCGGTCCGCCGCATCAGAGGCATTTGTGTTAAGCAATTCATCCTCATCCAGATCTTCTGTGAAGCTCAGATGACGTTTGCGGGTCTGCAAACTAAGCATTGGGAGATGTTTTATTAAGCTGCATGAGGAAGAAGAATGTGTTAAAATATGTATTAAAAAATGTTGTTAAATTTAAAAAAAAAAAATATATTTTAAGATAAAAAAAATACCTCATCTTGATTTAAAGTCGGATGAAAAAAAAAAAAAAAAAAATCGCTAAAAATGCGTTTTTTTCTTCGTCTTTTTTTGGCAACTTAAAATGATAAAAAAATATGTGAAATTAATTTTCGGGCGCTAAATTTTACCAAATTTATATGGTTTTCTGAGCATGCATAGGGCTAGCTGAACAAAAGGAAAATACTTTTCCCACAAACCATGAAGCGAGCTGCTTTTCCAACAATGGGAATCAGCTGAGTGAGCTAAAGGAAAACTCCAGTTCTCATAGGAAATGTACATGTCTCTTAACAACGGCAACATTGAGGAAAATCAAATAATTTTTTTCCAAAGCCTACTGAGATGAAAAATTCAAATTTCGATTTTTTTTGTTATTTTGACAGATGTCTTTCAGATCGCGTATTTGCCACTGCTTTGAGCCATTTGAGATGTGCTGTAATAGGTTAGCTAGATGGCATCCCCATATGTATATAGTTTCATATATTGTATATAGTATATAGATTTTCAAGTAAAAAATGTTAAAATTGCTTAACAGAACTGTTACTGAACTGTTAACTAATTCCCCCATTTAATAAATAACAAAAGAGTTACTTTCGGATTTTTTAGTTGATTTTTATATATTGTTATTTAATTATTTGATATAAGTTAGCAATATTTTAACTTCAAAATAAACTATATGGAGCATTCAGAGTATGAGCATAACGGTTTAATGACTGTTGTTTTGTCATTTGTCGTAAGAACAGTTCTAGCTACTAACTAACTTTAGTCAAAAAAGCTGTGAGATAGGGATATCAGTTGAATTTACTGTCGTCCTAGACGTAAAATTTCTCCATTAACCATTCTCATCATTTGCTATAATTAGGACTCGAATTATTCGAACTTTGCCGAATTATAATATTTATTATAAATATACTAAATATTGTTACTCTTATGCTTAACAGAATATTTTTTAAAAGATATACTAAATATACTAAATTTTACACAAATTCATTATACTTCCTCTAAAATTGTCTCAGTTGTTTTAGGAGTAAGAATTGTTAGCTTCAATCACTTTGGTTTTTTTTAGCTGATGCCAAGTGGAACAGTCAGCGAGCTGTATCCCGAGGCGTGACTTAGGGTCGCCTTCTATCCGGGCGTGCATTGTGCGGGAATCAGAGCTAAGCCCGCACAATGATCATTCGATATGAAACCGGAGTTCGCTGCGCTGCAGCCGGCACGATTTGGCGAAGCCACAATTTCAGGTTTGCCTAGCCGTGAACACGTTCAACATGAACGGCGATTAGTTGCATTTGTTTACGAGTATGGATTTCGGATTTGTCTCCGGCTCCGGCTCTGGCTGCGCCTGTGGCCATTTCCCATTTCCCATCTGCCATCGCTGTTGCCATTTGCCGTGGCCATGGCGGCGTAATGGCCGCCAGCCGTAACTTATTGCATCGTGGCGTGCGAGTGTCCACTGTATGTGAGTGTGCACCAAAGGGGGTTGGTCAGCAGCACCAGCAGGAGTAGCAGGAGCGGCAGCAGCAGCCAGACTTCATCCTGGACCCTGGACTAGTGTCAGGTGGGAGCGACCTGCCTGCTTTGCTCAATATGAATGTGTGATTTCGTTTTCTTGGCCGGACTTTATCCACATTGTAAAGTAGACATTATGTTGATGCGAATCTCTTGCGGACTATAGCGACTACTTTTGTTCACATATCGCGCTTGGGACATCAGCAGCGACCCAACGCCAACACGGCGATAATATCCCTGAAATTATTTTCAGTTACCCCGTATGTGTGTGTGTCTGTGTGTGTGTCCATTGGCAGCGGCCTTTGTTTTATTGTTATTGTTACGTTTCCTGGGCCATAGTCGTGATGTCCTCTCGGTCTCTGCGTCTTTGCGCCTGTGTCTGCGTCTGTATGGGTATCTGTCTCTCTGTCTGTGTCTCGGGCTCAGCCTGTACTCCGGTCACATTAGTGGTAGATGGACACTTGCTGTCCACTGTCCGCTCTCCTCTGTCCATTGTGCGGTGTCCTTTTTGGGTTATTTTATGTTATATCTCTCACATTTTTCCAAAGCTGCGCACTTGCAATTATACAACGGACGAGTACAGTGGACACATCTCTGGGGGTTGTCCCACGGGCCGGACACGTTCGGGTGTTTGCCTTTGATTTTCGCATATTGGCGCTACAAACTAATGGCTTCACTAACGATTGCAACCGTTGGCCTTAATGGCATCCTTTCGGCCATCACGCGCATCCCGTTTGCTGTCAATTTGTTGTGGTCCCGCCTGTTCCCCATACTTTCAACTTCAACTCCAGCTCCAACTCCAACTCCAGCTCCAACTCTGAGCTCCCTCTGCAGTGTTCATTCGTTTTGCCTTTGATTTAATATTGAGTTGATGGCAAGAGAAGCTCTTTCTCTTCCGATTCCTTCCGCATTTAAGTAATTAGAGATTTGGAATGGATTAGTATTGCATTGGAGACGATGGGTAAGGCTTTAGGCATTAATATATGTAAAAGTAGAACTAATCCAGCACTAGCTACTGAGGCCTTCGATTTAGAAATTATATATAAAGTTTATATTTTGAGCCTCTTTCTTCTAGTCTATAATCTATTTTGGCATAGTTGTGTTTAGTGAGAGCAGAGTTTTTGCATATTGACCTGTAGCTCTTCCAAAAGAATTAGAGTAAATTAAGGATCGTTGAACAAGATGAAATATGGCCTGAGCCAGAGCAATCAGAGACGTTTTATAAATCATCTCAGGCAGAGCATATATAAGATGTTGCTATATAGTAAGATAATAATTAACTACTCTGATAATTATTTTTATTTTTTTCTATATATTCTACTCAGTACTAGAAATCTCTAGTAGACTTCGTAATGAAAATTTACGGACATTTGATTTTTGTTTTATTTTTTAAATTTTATTTGACTAAACTATATACAAATATTGACCTAAACTGATTGAAGCAATTGTTTTGAATTTATTGATTTTATATTTTATATTATATTTCATGAGCCTCTCTGAAACTCTTAAATCGATAATTAAACAAATATTAAATAATATCATAAAAAGTTTCTTAAATAATAATAAAAACTAATAGTTTTGTTAGTTAGTGTCTTTAGTCACCTTCCCTCAGCTCTTCTCTTCTCTACTCAAAATTGATATCTGCCAACAGAATAAGGATTGTCAGAGTACCCCTCATAAAAAGTTGATTGTTAATGTTTACCTCGTGGTTAAGCCTCAAGAATGGCAGCCCGATTCACTGGCGGTCAAATAAAAATCGCACAAATTTATTGTTAATAGAAAAAAAAAAGGATCGACCGGATGAGGCACGCACTTGGGCAACTACCTAGCCCGGCTGACTTGAGCTAGCTGAGCCGCGATGCCTATCTGGCGGTGCAGGAACGGTGGAGGAATGCCGCACAGCACATTGGGCACTGGGCACTCGTAAACATATCGAATCATACGTTGGCGATATCGAAAAATAATCTCACGGCGGAAATGGCATATTTAAAAGGCGAAAGGATAGCTGCGATTTAACTTATAAAAAGGAGACGGCCCGCGCCGTATGCCGGAGTGGCGAATGGTGACAATGCTCGATTCCAGAGCTCCTTGAATGGCCAGCACTTTGGGGGATTTTTAGTGTTTATTGCCGTAGATTAGTTTGTTTATTGTAATCCTCGTTATAAATTAAGCGAAACTTGCGCTTAGCAAACTCATTCGGCAAGGGCCAAATGGCCAAATGGCCGTACGGCAACACGGCCAAAGGGTTGCCTTGGCTTGGGCTCCCCTGCTGCCCTTCTGTTGCTCTCCTGCCCCTTTGGCTGCGCGGCTCCTTGGCTCTATAAACTCGTATTAATTCGCCGCATATTTCCCCAAAGGCATCGACTGAACTTTTCCGAGATAATTGCTGCAAATAGTTTACGACCGCAGCCGATAATGCGATAGTCCAATGGAATTTTCTGTTGTAAAAAAATGAATTTCCTTTTTCTTATGATTCATTTTTTTTTCTTTTTTGAGCGAGTTAAGAAATGAAATGAACTGAGAGTGGATTACCTAGCCATAATACATAGGTGAAAGACTTGACAGATTTTGTCTCCAATTTATGACACTATGAAAATGCTAAAAAATGCAAATTAATTTGGGCTCCAGCTACTCTCCCGTCTAATAGAACTCTATATACATAGTAAAGTTACTAACTATAGGCCTAAACATATTCGTAATAACAATCTGAAGTAACTTCAGCAGTTGGCGCACATTTCGCTTTATGCAATTTCAACATATGTGAGTCAAGTTTTATGCAAATTGATTTGCCAAAAAACTTTTTATTTTGCCTGAGATTCGAATCTGGTTAGATAAATATGTGCACTCGCTTAGCTAAATAACAAAATTGCAAAATATGTGAATGTGTGTGTGTATGTTTTGTAATATGAAAATATGACAGCAGCTGCTCAATTTTTCTATTTCCATTTCTATTCCTAGTTTTTGCGTTCGATTCGTTACGCCTGAGTCGAAAAATTCATATTGCATAGCGCAAGGCGCGCGACTGTTCAATAATTCCCCAAAAAAAGAGAGAAAAAACTAATAAGCCAGGTGAGCTGGATTAGGAGAAGGAGTAAGAGTAGAAGGAGTGGCAAGCAGCAGCTGGGGGCGTGTGGAGTCAGCGCTCTGAAGTTTGCATACAATTTTTGGGCACGAAGCTGAAATGACAAAACCCCATTAAGAATTACAGTTGTCTGTGCTCGTAGCGCGCTTTGTCCTATTTGTATGTTATTTCAATGCCTTTTAATACCCTGTAAATGTGGAGTGTAGTGTAGTGTGTGCTGAACTGATCGAACCAGCGCTGGGTTGGCCATTTTCGGATATTTGGTCTGCAGTAGACAATTTTAGACTTCCTTTTGATCCATATAAAAGC